ACGCGGGGCGGGGGCGCGCGGCGGCCGCTGCGGCCTGTGGCTCCGTCACCCGGCTGAGCCCAGCTGGCTGAGCCCGGCGTCTGCGAGTCCTGCGGCAGCCTCGGCGCCCGGGCAGAGTTCGGGAGTGCGCCGGGGGCTGTCCCGCTCTTCCGCTCCGGGGCTCCAGTCAGCTGGCGGCGCGGGGCCGGTTATCATGTCGCTGAGGCAGCGCCTGGCGGGGCTGGCAAGCCGTCTGCAGGAGCCGCAGAAAGTGGCCCGTTTCCAGCAGCTGTGCGGGGTGGAAGCGCTGCCCAGCGATGCCACTGCCGACCCGAAGCACGGTGACCGAGAGGCGGAGGCACAGCTGGCCGGAGACGCCCGGCGGCGAGGGCGGCCGCTGGGGGCGTGCGGAGGCCCCCAGCCGCCCGGGGGCGACCTCAATCAGTGTCAGGCCAAGTGCGGCGGCGGCGGCGCCCCCAACGGCGTGCGGAACGGGCTGGCCGCGGAGCTGGGCCCGGCTCTGGCGAGACGCGGGGCGGCTCTGCGTCGCAACTCGCTGACAGGCGAGGAGGGCCGGCTGGCCCGAGTGAGCAACTGGCCCCTGTACTACCTTTTCACCTTCGGCACGGAGCTGGGCAACGAGCTCTTTTACATCACTTTCTTCCCCTTCTGGTTCTGGAACCTGGACCCCCTGGTGGGCCGGAGACTCGTGCTCATCTGGGTGCTGGTCATGTACCTGGGCCAATGCACCAAGGACATCATCCGTTGGCCGCGGCCTGCCTCGCCGCCCGTGGTCAAGTTGGAGATCTTCTACAACTCCGAGTACAGCATGCCCTCCACCCATGCCATGGCCGGCACCGCCATCCCCGTGTCCATGTTCCTTCTCACGTACGGCCGCTGGCAGGTAAGGCCCGCAGGGGAGCTGAAGACCGCCGAGGCGGGTGGGTGCCCCCTTGCTGGCCACAGTTCGTTCCGTGGCGCGGCTACCCCTACACCTCTCTTCCCACGGCTGTGCATAGTTTAGCCTACAGGCCCTTTGTAGGTTAAACAAACAAAACCCACCCCAAACATCCAATGATCAGGGGAAACCTGCAAACGTGGCCGTCGAAGTACGTGTGCCTAGCAGTCAGTGCCTTTCCTGGAAACCAAAGGAAGCAGTTTCGTCTCACTGGGCCTCGCTTGGGTTTCCCAGTTCTTTTCCTTGTGGTGATGCACAGGGGAAGTGAGTGTTTCCAAGAAGACACCGTTTTGCTGCCCCCGTGGATGCTGTATCAGATCTAGGGAATAACATTCGCTGTAAGACAGTGGAGCCAAACCAGCCTGCCCGGTCCAGGGACCGAAGTCATGAATTTTAAACGCAAACCCGCCCTCGATGGGAGTCCCTGGCCGGTCCATACTCGGTGACGGCCTCTTCAGTGTGTGGTTAATTTGCTGACGGGACGTCTTTGTATCTTGTAGATCACCGCTCTCCCTAGTGCAAGTTGTTGAGCTACTGTCGCCTTGTTGCATCTCTTCTAAAAATGAATGGGTTTAAAGGTATCCTTCAAAGTTGATCAGACTAGTCCATTTGTTAAAAGTCCCTGACGGGTGTGAGCTCGTAATAGGAATCGGCTTTATATTTGGATTACATTCCGCCCGCCTCCTCTTTCGCTCGCTCCCTTCTTGTGTGTGTCAGTTTTCCCTGCTCTATAAACTGTCCTTAGGTCTTAAGATTCTCGTTGATAAAGCAGCAACATTCATTCTTAGGCTGTTGTACTGGTTTCTTCTGCCCTTTAAAGTGTAAGGAGATTTCCCAGTCCCTTAGCTGAAAAATAAATTTCATTCTTAGGGAGAATCTTTCAACGCAAGCATACTTCCTCAGCCCCCCCCCCCCCAAAATCATCGTGTGTTGAGAAATACACATTCACTGCAAGTCTCCATTATGGTAAATTTCCTTATCTCATCGCATTTCAGTATGGATAAAATCTTGTCCCCACAGGATACTTCTGTACAGTATGCTTTCTGCTTCTTATCCCATGAAAATATGCCTTGTACTTGTACTTGGTAAGAATGGCAGAATTCTTAGAGAGAGTAGCAGGAAAGGGATTTTGTTTTTTTGCCAATTTAACTGAAAGCGAGTACAGTGATACTCATTGTACTGTTGCCTGTTTTTCACGATATGTAAATGCTTCTTACCGTTAGTATTTCAAAAGTTGAGATGAATCATCAGTGTGTGTGTGTGTGTCATGATAATTAGCTGGTTAGCTAAGATGGGGCTCTTATTTTCATGAGACTATCAGGGTCCTATAACTCTGGGGCCCCTGAACCCCCTTCTCTGTGTGAAGTTCTACATGCTATTCATGTTAGTGAAAGTAAGAGAAAATCGTTATTTTTGTTCTCCATTTATTCAGAGCACACCCTATATAGGAAGTAGAGCGGAATTGTGTACAGGGTGGGGCTACTGGTCTAACATTTTGAGTGATCAGAATAAGTTTATCGTTCTTAAACCATGCAAAGCCTCAGGAATTTGTGTATCAGACTCTTTTAGAATTTGAGCTGGACAGGACTTTAGAAATTAGCCTCAAATTGCTATTTTATTCATGTGGTTGCTGACTAGTTACATCAGAGTGAATATAAAATGTACATTTCTAATTTTATATTTTGAAGCTCCATAAACATTTCTAAATTTGAACAATGGATTATTGGGGGGGTAGTTGTTTCCAAAGAAAGCCATTCTTATATGAAAGTTTTATTTTTGGAGATGTTTGATTGTAGTACAAGGACGGTTTATCTCATTAATGTATACTTATTATGAATTGAAAGCAGAAATGCCTTCCTTTGCTTCAACTGCTTTGGTTTTCACCTGGGCCAGTGAGTACTTTGCTGCTTTAAAAAGGGAGGCTAGCATGCACGATGCATTGCATAGTGGATTGTTGCAGTGTGATTAGGTTACCATTTAGCACTATCATTTGATCTCCCTTTTGAGCTATTTAAATTTGTTACAGCTTTTAAATATTTTCTGCTTTTCAATTAGGGTTTTTATCTGTTTTACTGTCATTTCGTTAATTTTTTGATATGTGAAATCTAGGCTAGGTAAATCTATGGAGACAGTAATTGGATTCATGGTTCCTTGGAGGGTATGGTAGGAGAGGGTGGGGGCAGGGGGGATGGGGAGCTAATGACAATGAGTACAAGGATGAAGAAAATGTTCAAAAAGTGATTGTGGTGATGATGTGGTTGAACTACTGAATTGTACGTTATGTGAATTTTATGCCAATAAAAGTTTTAAATGGTAGGGGCAAAGGCATCTATTTCCAGAGCAGGTAATGAAAAAAAAATTTTTTTTTTCTTTTTAGCAACTGGGGTAAGTATTACAAGAATGAAGTAGGTGTTTTTGTATTAAATTAGCAGCAGTTTTATTGCCAGGCCTGTTCATCTGCATATTGTTGCTTACTGTGGACAGGTGTGGTTATGTTTAGCTGCCCCCAATGCTGAAACCTCGCTTTTGAAATCTCTGTGCTATCTCTTTGGTTAACTGCTCCACTCTTCCCTACCACTTACTGTTTGTACCCACTGGGAGTTTGCTCAAGTTTCACCTCCTACACAGAATTTAAAAAATTTAGCCCTTCCTGTCTTCTTATTTCCCTGTGATTCTAAAATGACCGTATGAAAAAATGACCTGAATGTTTTTTAAAGTACAGATTTCTGCGCCTTAAACCCAGAGTTTTGTGTCCATTAGCAAAGGGAGAGAAGTCCTGTGTTTTATTGGAATAATTCCCCCCAAGAATTTTATTTATTCCCCTCTTCCCCCAAGAATTTTGAGGAAGAAATATTCTTTCTTTAAATATCATGAACTCTTCAGCACTAGAATGTATATTATTGTAAGATTGCTGAGTCAGCTCTTTTGTAGTTGCCATCTTTGAATCTTTTAAAGGAACATTTTAATACAAAAAGGGAGATTGGAACAATATAACTTCAAGCAGTTATTTGAGGCCGGAATAATTTTGAAAAAATATGTTTATTGTGGTATACATAGGAAATATTATGCATTTTCTACAGGGATTAAATGGTTTTGAACTCCATTGGACAGGATACTAATTATGATGCTCATATTCGTAGTTGAATTTTTTGTAGTCCAAATTATTAAAAAAATTTTAAACTTGAGCTATTTAGAATGGAATTATTTGAAGAAGAATCTACAATACAAATAAAGCACTCATTTTATATTTATATTTGCTTGTTCTTCCAGGGACAAGAATGACTTCTTATTAAATAAAATGGCACAGAATCTTTATGAGTGATATCCTTGATTTTAATCATTAGTTGAGATAGTTTTAGATTAATTTCATTTAAAAAAAATCAGTCTCACCGTGCACATTTTAGCCATATTTTCAACTACTGTATATGCTTTCACTGCCTTTTATAATAATAAGCTACCATTATTATTTAGAGTTATTAAGCACATCCTTTGTTCAAAACATCATTTCTTCAAAACATTGTTCAGAATCTTGTATACTTGACACCTTATTCACACTACTTTTATTATACCTCAATGTTTGATCCTATTGCTAAACACCATGAAGAAGCTGAGTACCAGAAAGGTTAAATTTCTCACTCAAGGTTACACAACTATTAAACGGCAGAGTCTGACTCAAAGGCTTACACAGAAAACTTTTCAATCATACTTTTTATTTATAAAGGATCTTTGCATCAATATATATATTATTTGTGAAACATATAGGATTGTAGGGTTGCTATGAGTTAGTTGCCATTGACTTGAGGGCAGTGAGTTTCATAAAATATAAAAGGAGATTTGCATATCCTTGAGAAGATAAATGTGTCTAAATGCACATGCCATACACACAGATATTTGTGTATTGAACATATATATAAATTCATTGGCCTGAAACCAAATGCTGATTTGGTCACCCTTTTATTTCTAATATCTTTCTAACATAAAATATTCAATAAATTTAATAAAAGCTTTAGATAGGGGAGACATATAAGATATTATATAAAAATATAGTTTAGATAATAAAGATAGTTGTATGTCTACAAAAATAAGAGGAAAGACAGAAAGTATGAGCCGTAAAAGTATGTTAAAAATGGCAAAGATGAGAGAAGTTGTCACTTAAGTAATTCAGGGAAGAAACGTTTATTTTAAAAAACAAGTTTATTTGATTGGTTTATTTACCTAGCAGCATAACTGTTTGAATTTAATATTTTCCTAATTTTATCAGTGTTTGTTACCAATTATTTATTTAAAGCTAATTTTAATTATTATTTTTTAATCATTTGACTGGGGGCTCATACAACTCTTATCACAATCCATACATACATCAATTGTATAAAGCACATTTGTACATTCGTTACCCTCATCATTCTCAAAACATTTGCTTCACATGTAAACCCCTGGCATCAGCTCCTCATTTTTCCTCCTCCCTACCCACACCCCACTCCATCATGAACCCTTGATAATTTATAAGTTATTATTTTGTCATATCTTGCCCTGTCTGGTCTAGGGTTTCCGAGACTGTAAATCTTTACAGGCAGACAGCCCTCATTTTCTCCCTCAGAGACTGGCTAGTGATGTGAACAACCAGCCTTGCAGGTAGCAGCCTACTGTTTAACCCACGGTGCCACCATGGTCTTTAAAAAATATGAACACCCAACACCTACTTCCATTGATTGGGTCAATTTTGACTCATAGTGACCCTGTGTAGGATTTCTGAGGCTGTACCCTTTTATGGGAACACATAGCCCCATCTTTCTCCCTTGGAGCAGCTGGTGGCTCTGAACCACCCAACTTTTGGTTAGCTGTCCAATGCTTGCTACCCAGGTCTCTTCTAGAAGAAATTATTGTTACAAGTTCGTTACTTACTCTTACAATCTCAACATAGATCCAGTTAAATGGTAGCATTCTGT